ACCATACCACAACGGATTCACCATGTCGCGCAACCCGCAGGCCTGAACGCTGCATCGTCGCACAGTCTAACCATGGCTGTCGATAACGCATCTACGCTTGTGCGTTGGGCCTGTGCTTCATACAACTCCTTCTAAGCACCTTGTTTAATGGCTGTGCAAGAATGGATGCCAATGCAACACCATACCACAACGGATTCACCATGTCGCGCAACCCGCAGGCCTGAACGCTGCATCGTCGCACAGTCTAACCATGGCTGTCGATAACGCATCTACGCTTGTGCGTTGGGCCTGTGCTTCATACAACTCCTTCTAAGCACCTTGTTTAATGGCTGTGCAAGAATGGATGCCAATGCAACACCATACCACAACGGATTCACCATGTCGCGCAACCCGCAGGCCTGAACGCTGCATCGTCGCACAGTCTAACCATGGCTGTCGATAACGCATCTACGCTTGTGCGTTGGGCCTGTGCTTCATACAACTCCTTCTAAGCACCTTGTTTAATGGCTGTGCAAGAATGGATGCCAATGCAACACCATACCACAACGGATTCACCAAGTCGCGCAACCCGCAGGCCTGAACGCTGCATCGTCGCACAGTCTAACCATGGCTGTCGATAACGCATCTACGCTTGTGCGTTGGGCCTGTGCTTCATACAACTCCTTCTAAGCACCTTGTTTAATGGCTGTGCAAGAATGGATGCCAATGCAACACCATACCACAACGGATTCACCATGTCGCGCAACCTGCAGGCCTGAACGCTGCATCGTCGCACAGTCTAACCATGGCTGTCGATAACGCATATACGCTTGTGCGTTGGGCCTGTGCTTCATACCACTCCTTCTAAGCACCTTGTTTAATGGCTGTGCAAGAATGGATGCCAATGCAACACCATACCACAACGGATTCACCATGTCGCGCAACCCGCAGGCCTGAACGCTGCATCGTCGCACAGTCTAACCATGGCTGTCGATAACGCATCTACGCTTGTGCGTTGGGCCTGTGCTTCATACAACTCCTTCTAAGCACCTTGTTTAATGGCTGTGCAAGAATGGATGCCAATGCAACACCATACCACAACGGATTCACCATGTCGCGCAACCCGCAGGCCTGAACGCTGCATCGTCGCACAGTCTAACCATGGCTGTCGATAACGCATCTACGCTTGTGCGTTGGGCCTGTGCTTCATACAACTCCTTCTAAGCACCTTGTTTAATGGGTGTGCAAGAATGGATGCCAATGCAACACCATACCACAACGGATTCACCATGTCGCGCAACCCGCAGGCCTGAACGCTGCATCGTCGCACAGTCTAACCATGGCTGTCGATAACGCATCTACGCTTGTGCGTTGGGCCTGTGCTTCATACAACTCCTTCTAAGCACCTTGTTTAATGTGTGTGCAAGAATGGATGCCAATGCAACACCATACCACAACGGATTCACCATGTCGCGCAACCCGCAGGCCTGAACGCTGCATCGTCGCACAGTCTAACCATGGCTGTCGATAACGCATCTACGCTTGTGCGTTGGGCCTGTGCTTCATACAACTCCTTCTAAGCACCTTGTTTAATGTGTGTGCAAGAATGGATGCCAATGCAACACCATACCACAACGGATTCACCATGTCGCGCAACCCGCAGGCCTGAAAGCTGCATCGTCGCACAGTCTAACCATGGCTGTCGATAACGCATCTACGCTTGTGCGTTGGGCCTGTGCTTCATACAACTCCTTCTAAGCACCTTGTTTAATGTGTGTGCAAGAATGGATGCCAATGCAACACCATACCACAACGGATTCACCATGTCGCGCAACCCGCATGCCTGAAAGCTGCATCGTCGCACAGTCTAACCATGGCTGTCGATAACGCATCTACGCTTGTGCGTTGGGCCTGTGCTTCATACAACTCCTTCTAAGCACCTTGTTTAATGTGTGTGCAAGAATGGATGCCAATGCAACACCATACCACAACGGATTCACCATGTCGCGCAACCTGCAGGCCTGAACGCTGCATCGTCGCACAGTCTAACCATGGCTGTCGATAACGCATATACGCTTGTGCGTTGGGCCTGTGCTTCATACCACTCCTTCTAAGCACCTTGTTTAATGGCTGTGCAAGAATGGATGCCAATGCAACACCATACCACAACGGATTCACCATGTCGCGCAACCCGCAGGCCTGAACGCTGCATCGTCGCACAGTCTAACCATGGCTGTCGATAACGCATCTACGCTTGTGCGTTGGGCCTGTGCTTCATACAACTCCTTCTAAGCACCTTGTTTAATGTCTGTGCAAGAATGGATGCCAATGCAACACCATACCACAACGGATTCACCATGTCGCGCAACCCGCAGGCCTGAACGCTGCATCGTCGCACAGTCTAACCATGGCTGTCGATAACGCATCTACGCTTGTGCGTTGGGCCTGTGCTTCATACAACTCCTTCTAAGCACCTTGTTTAATGTGTGTTCAAGAATGGATGCCAATGCAACACCATACCACAACGGATTCACCATGTCGCGCAACCCGCAGGCCTGAACGCTGCATCGTCGCACAGTCTAACCATGGCTGTCGATAACGCATCTACGCTTGTGCGTTGGGCCTGTGCTTCATACAACTCCTTCTAAGCACCTTGTTTAATGTGTGTGCAAGAATGGATGCCAATGCAACACCATACCACAACGGATTCACCATGTCGCGCAACCCGCATGCCTGAAAGCTGCATCGTCGCACAGTCTAACCATGGCTGTCGATAACGCATCTACGCTTGTGCGTTGGGCCTGTGCTTCATACCACTCCTTCTAAGCACCTTGTTTAATGTGTGTGCAAGAATGGATGCCAATGCAACACCATACCACAATGGATTCACCATGTCGCGCAACCTGCAGGCCTGAACGCTGCATCGTCGCACAGTCTAACCATGGCTGTCGATAACGCATCTACGCTTGTGCGTTGGGCCTGTGCTTCATACCACTCCTTCTAAGCACCTTGTTTAATGGCTGTGCAAGAATGGATGCCAATGCAACACCATACCACAACGGATTCACCATGTCGCGCAACCCGCAGGCCTGAACGCTGCATCGTCGCACAGTCTAACCATGGCTGTCGATAACGCATCTACGCTTGTGCGTTGGGCCTGTGCTTCATACAACTCCTTCTAAGCACCTTGTTTAATGTGTGTGCAAGAATGGATGCCAATGCAACACCATACCACAACGGTATCACCAAGTCGCGCAACCCGCAGGCCTGAACGCTGCATCGTCGCACAGTCTAACCATGGCTGTCGATAACGCATCTACGCTTGTGCGTTGGGCCTGTGCTTCATACAACTCCTTCTAAGCACCTTGTTTAATGTCTGTGCAAGAATGGATGCCAATGCAACACCATACCACAACGGATTCACCATGTCGCGCAACCCGCAGGCCTGAACGCTGCATCGTCGCACAGTCTAACCATGGCTGTCGATAACGCATCTACGCTTGTGCGTTGGGCCTGTGCTTCATACAACTCCTTCTAAGCACCTTGTTTAATGTCTGTGCAAGAATGGATGCCAATGCAACACCATACCACAACGGATTCACCATGTCGCGCAACCCGCAGGCCTGAACGCTGCATCGTCGCACAGTCTAACCATGGCTGTCGATAACGCATCTACGCTTGTGCGTTGGGCCTGTGCTTCATACAACTCCTTCTAAGCACCTTGTTTAATGTGTGTGCAAGAATGGATGCCAATGCAACACCATACCACAACGGATTCACCATGTCGCGCAACCCGCAGGCCTGAACGCTGCATCGTCGCACAGTCTAACCATGGCTGTCGATAACGCATCTACGCTTGTGCGTTGGGCCTGTGCTTCATACCACTCCTTCTAAGCACCTTGTTTAATGTCTGTGCAAGAATGGATGACAATCCAACACCATACCACAACGGATTCACGTTTGTTACTATTGATAATCGTCTTAGAATGTCGTTCGCTGGCCCTAAACCATTGTGGCAAAGCCTAAAAGTGCACAGTACATCTGTCACAAGTAATAATTCTGGACGGTCGTTGTGTGTGTGACGTAAGAATCACCGATTAACTTACCCCAACCCCGTGGTAAACCATTTGCAGCTTAGAGTTTGATGAAATGCATTGTTGTATGTTTGAATAAAATTTAGTGATTTATGCGTTGGCAACCGTGATTGGCCGACGCATCTCAAACGATTCCCCCCGCAACACAGTCATCAGCCAAGAGGTACTTCAGCCATTGAGCGGCTGAGATCGAGCGGTAGGTGGGTTTATGCTAGGGTGGCTACACGTACACCGTCCAATATAGCCTGATAGGGTTACATTACTCTCTCTAGTCTCGCAACCCACCCCAACCACCCTCGTGTCCCACCCACCTGCTTCCGTCACTCCCTGGACCAACACTTTGACGCTGCTCGTTGCCTTGACACACGCCTCTCCAGATCGGCCTTAGCGCGAAGCATAGTGGCTACTATGACAGATTTAGTTGAAGCCGCGGTTTTCGGAAACACATAACAGTGATAGACCGTCGATAATCCCATCGTGGGATTCAGTTGCAGAACCCTTTCGAAACCGGCTCAACCCTTCCGCGCGATTTGCAACTTTGCTCCTCCTACAATTACCATGACACGTGCAACACGTAACCAAGCAATGGAGGAGGAACAGGCCGGCCGCCGCGCGACAAGGAGGGCGTCTAAACAAATCGATAGGGAGTGTGGTGGCGGCGCTAAAAAAACTAATGCGTCCGTCGCTCGTGGCATTGGGCAGAAAAAAGCGGCGGCAAAAAAGGTCGCGCGCGGTCAACAGGAGGCCGGCAAGAAAGCGGAAGACAAGGGGCCTAAACCAACGCCACGCAAGCGTGTTTCTACAGTGAACAAAGATGTGGATGTTGCCTCTGCTGGAACCGAGCCCGGTCCGAGTAAAGACGGCACCACTGGCGGCAACGAAGATCCGGGGCGAGGGAGCGCGAGTCTTGCACTCCCGTCGGCGGAGATGGAGGGATCGGCGACGGAGGGAAATCACGGAGGCGATCCCCGCGCCGAGCATGCCGCAACCAAGGAGTCCGAGGCGGCGGCAACGCAACACCATCTGACGCTGCTCCAGCCGACCGTGGTCGAAGTTTCTGCAGCCGTGCTGGATAAGGACAAGGTGGGGGAGCACGAGTCGGTGGGGCTGGTCGGTGGCTCTCCACCTTCTGGTGGACGGGGGAGGCGTAGGCAGAGGAAGAGCGATGGGGAGGACGATTATGACACCGCCGTGCCCGGGGACCTCATTACGCGGGCGAAGAGGCGGCAGACGACAGGTAGTGCTGACGACGCCGGAGGCGCGGCAGTTGGGACACCGCGAGGCGCCAAGGAAGCTAGTGGCAAGGCGGGCGGTCAAGCATTGCGCCAGAAGGGCCGACCCGCAGCAAGAAAAGCATCCGGCGGAAGGAGAGGCAAGAAAGCAGCGACGGGAACAAAGCCGAAACGGGGCGATGAAGACCCCGGTGATGCGGAGGAGGAGGAGGATAAGAAGGAGGATGCGGAGGGAGAGGAGGATGAAGAGGAAGCGGAGGAGGATGACGCGGATGTTGGGGAGGATGAAAAAGATGAGAATGATGGCGGGGAGGACGAAGAGGAGGAGGAGGAGGAGGAGGAGGAGGAGGAGGAGGAGGAGGAGGAGGAGGAGGAGGAGGAGGCAGAGGAGGAGGAGGAGGAGGAGGAGGAGGAGGAGGAGGAGGAGGCAGAGGAGGAGGAGGAGGAGGAGGAGGAGGAGGAGGAGGAGGAGGAGGAGGAGGAGGAGGAGGAGGAGGAGGAGCAGGGTGACGACGAGGAGGAGGATGTGGAGGAGGAGGAGGAGGAGGAGGCAGCGGAGGAGGAGGAGGAGGAGGAGGAGGAGGAGGAGGAGGAGGAGGAGGAGGAGGAGGAGGAGGAGGAGGAGGAGGAGGAGGAGGAGGAGGAGGAGGAGGAGGAGGAGGAGGAGCAGGGTGACGACGAGGAGGAGGATGTGGAGCAGGAGGAGGAGGAGGCAGCGGAGGAGGAGGAGGAGGAGGAGGAGGAGGAGGAGGAGGAGGAGGAGGAGGAGGAGGAGGAGGAGGAGGAGGAGGAGGAGGAGGATGTGGCGCCAGTGAAGGGACGGGGCGGGCGTGGCAGACGGGTGAGTGGTACAGGGAAGGAGGGGGGCTGGACTCGCCCTTCCCGAAAACGCGGGGCAGTTGACGCTGCGCGCGGCGAAGCATCGGGCAAACCGAAGGCGCGTAAGTGAAGGTCGAAAGTGAAGGGGTTGGTAAAAAGCAAGGGAGCCAGGGAGCAAAAGGGGATGGAGGAGGAAAGGGTGGCCGCGCCAAAGGGGTTCCAGTGGGTACCAGCAAGAAAGAACCTGCCGGTAAACGTCGCAGCGTCCGCCAAAGCACCCCGCGGAAAGGTGGCAACGAGAAGGCGCAGGCTGCATCAAAACCGAAGGGACAGCAGAAAGGTGAGCATTGTGTCTAATAAAACTGGCGTGACGTGTTGAACCATATGCTAAACCGTGCCAAAAAACACCCTTTTTTCACATTGTTTCTCCCATGCAGGGAAGGAGAAGGTCGACGAATCTGCCAAGCAAGGTAAACCCTCTTGTCTCAAACCAGTACAACCCTGAACCCGATCTAGATTCAAACCTTTCTGAATATGCATGCATGTCTGGCCCCGCCTTGAAACCGATCGACTCTATTTTTTTTTTCCGGCTCCCTCTACATCTCAGCCCCTCGCGTTACAGGCATTGGGCCGCCCGTAAGCGTGCAACGAATGCATCTAACGAAGGCTGCCGGAAGAGCGAGTGTTACACCGCTCTCCTCCGGAGCACCAAGGTACTACACGCCATGGGCCGGCCCGAGCAAAGTCGCTGCGACGGCACCAGGCGCGCCAAGAGGAGAGGAATCCGAATCCCCTCCACCCGCCCCCGTCACGCAGTCCCCACTCGCCTCACCCTCGTACCAATTTCGGCAACTCCACGCTTCTCCTGTCCGGGGCAGGGCGGTCTCCCCTCTCGCCGATCCTTCGCGCGGGCATCAGGCAGGCAGTTATGCCAATCCCTTCCCTGAGCTCCCCTTTTCCCGCCAGCGTGATAGTGTGAGGGCACACGGGACTGCTGCAGAAGACGTTGATCCCCTTGGCCAGAGGGGGGATTCTTCACACCCTTTTCCTCCGCTCATGGGTGCCCTAGGTGAAAGTGCGGAGCACGAGCAGTTTGTTACACGGGAGGAGTTCCAGGCGCTGCGGTCTGAGATGTACGCCATGTTTGCACAGCTCGGCCTGCGTCGTGGAGTACCTGCCAGCTATGCCGGCGGGTCGGCAGCCCTGCCTATGGCTGGTACCCCGCCGCCGATGAGCGCCGTGGACAAGGCACGAGTGCTAGTGTTGCAGGAGACAAACCCATTCCCGGTATGTGGCGGGCCACATGGGGAGGGTTGGGGTTGACGTGGCAACAAGGGCGGGGTTGGGGCTGACGTGGCGGTTTCGAAGGGAACACGGGAGCGGCGCGTGACGAAGCGACGCGTATCAGGTGGGTGGGGGGTGACGTGGCATGGGGTGGGTGGGTGTAACGTGGCAAGTGGCGCGGGTTGTTGGTGGACGTGGCGGATGCGGGTTGGGTGTGACGTGGCAAAAGGTGAGGGTTGGGATATGACGTGGCGGTGTGAAAGGGTGCAAGGGAGTGCCGCATGACGGCGCGAGGCGTTTCAGGTGGGTGGGGGGTGACGTGGCTCTTGGTGGGGGGTGTGACGTGGCAAGTAGGGCGGGTTGTTGGCGGATGCAAAAGGGTGTGACGTGGCAGAATGTGAGGGTTGGGGCTGACGTGGCGGTTTGGAATGGTACACGGGAGCGGCGCGTGACGAGGCGACGCGTGTCAGGTGGGTGGGGGGTGACGTGGCATGGGGTGGGAGGGTGTGACGTGGCACGTGGGGCTGGTTGTTGGTGGACGTGGCGGATGCAGGAGGGTGTGACGTGGCACGTGGGGCTGGTTGGTGGACGTGGCGGACAAGGAGGGTGTGACGTGGCGGAAGGTGAGGGTTGGGGATGACGTGGCGGATGCAGGTGGGTGTGACGTGGCGGAAGGTGAGGGTTGGGGATGACGTGGCGGTTAGAAATGGTACACGTGACCACTGCGCATGACGAAGCGAGGCGTGTCAGGTGGGTGGGGGGTGACGTGGCTTGTGGTAGGGGGGTGTGACGTGGCAAGTGGGCCGGGTTGTTGGTGGACGTGTCGGATGGCACAGGGTGTGACGTGGCAAGTTCAAACAGTGTTGCTAGTCACCATCCCATGGTCACGCGGCCACCCTCATAACTGCTGGTTTCTCTCTTCCATGTCGTGTTGTATACCTTACACCCCTGCGCAGAACAAAGCCTACTTAGTGTGCTCTCAGCTCATGTTTCTGAACCCGCCGGAGAAAATACAGTACTACCCTGCACTGGAGGAAGTGTTCGAAGCGTTCTCTGTCCACTTGTCTGCAGAAGGGCTCGAGGCAATGAAGCTGCTGTGGTTGCACAATGACAAGTCAACCATGGGAGTCTTCAACCACCAGCTGTCCTCAACAAGGTCAACTATCAACTCCACCCTCAGGCCAGCAGCATACACCGGCATGGGCCTTGCCGATTACAGCCATCTCGTGGATAGCCTGCCCACTGAGCTACACCCAACGACCTGGTTCGACGACGATCAACTCCTAGCCGAGTACAGAGATGGTATGTGCAGTGCAACTCGAAAACACAATATGCCCTACCATATGCCCCTTGGCAGCTACATATCACCGTGCGATGTGGCTCACCCTGACTCTCATCCCCCCATTTGATTTCTCTACAAAACCCTTTCCAACCCATACCCTCCCTGCCAAAAATCAGAACAGTGGGCCCTCAACTGGCACTTTGACAAGGCCACCGGGACACCCTTCAGCAACCCCTTGTTCGCTTATGCGTTCAAGCTCTCCTTCAAGAGGGGCGGGGCGGTGTTCACCAAGTTCAAGAGCCGCATGGTGGCATGGGGCCTGTTTTCGGTAAGGATGTAGATATGTGTTTGTACCCCCATGCCTCATCCCCTTAACCCCTTGCCTGTACTTCAGCTAGAACCCTGGTCGATTAGGCCTTTGCAGTTACGTAGATAGTGACGACTGCATCACCGCTTTCAGTTGCCTCATTTACCCATAACCTACCGTCCTCATAAACCATCCACCCAACCCTACACCACATTGCAGATCGAATGGCCCCTTCTGCAGGATAAGCGTCGCAAGCGAATCAGTAGCCAGCCGGAGCAGAACAGGCCAGACTACCAGGAGTGGTGCGAAAAGGTCAAATAGATGATCCATTTTGCTGTCGTGGAGCGGAGGATCCCCCACGATCCGGCTATGGGTGCGTTCGTCTTTCCGAACAAGTTCCTCATCGACGACGGCGACCTTGGAGATGTCGTCCTTGCCCACCGGGCGCTTTCAAGGCCCGCCAGTGCGTAGGCTATTTGACCTGGTGCTAAGACTGCTTGTTGCTAGAATGCTGAATAATGGTTCTTGTAAACCGCAATAATAAATGCAATTTTGAAATCCTCAATATCCAAAATGAACAAAAACAGAATTTAGTTTTGAATAATTTGGTCATGAATTTGCAACAAAACGGATTGCGCCCGAATGTCATCCGGAAAAGCTCGCGTGCCAAATTGGAACTTGAACCGAGCCAAACCTTGTCGCGAGATGTGTCTCGGAGCTCCTATCAAATGACTCCAACCGTCGGTCCAAATTGGCTCCGGATTTTTTTACGCGAAGACAATCGAAATCAAAATTCGTCCAAACTTGGCATAGGGTTTTTGTGATGCATGTTGCAGTTTCGTTCACCTCGCGCTCCTCGTATTGACGTCGCTGTGTGCTTCCGCTCGTCAATCCATCCAAGTCGAGTATTCGTGCCACGTAGCAGAGCCGAGTGACACGCGCACTGGTTCTCGGATATGCGTGAGCTTCGAGTCATGATCCGAGCGCCTTCCGTCACTCCGTGTGCTGCGCGCACGTGGCAGAGCTGATCGGCTGCTTGGGGAGGAAAGATGTGGAGATGGTGATGGTGACAGGCCCGGTGAGGGGCTTCCGCGTATCTCTACGTCGCCATGGCTCTGGGTAACGCGAGTGGGTCGTGAGTGGCTGGTAGGTGCATGAAACAAGGCTACGGCGCTACTGCCGCGCACGGCGCGGCTGGCCTGGCCGGCCTAGGCGAAGGTGGCGCCGTAGCTAGAAAGAGAAGGAGTAATCGCAGCGGAATAAGAGAAGCTAGGCACGTGAGAGAGAAGGCCTAGCTCCAGGAGACGTAGAGATCGAGAAGAAAGATTCCAAAAATAGACGATTAGAAGAATACGGAATAGGATGATACAAGAAAGACTAGGGGAATTCTCAAACGGGTCCTTGCCTAGCTAGCTACGAACAACAACAGTTGCTAGCCTCGAGCCTTTCCCCTTATCCCTGTCAAGATGGTTAGTACAGCAGGGCATAGCATCGAGGCGTGATGTCGAGATGCTATGCTAGATTGAGTAGCGACACGGTCTTCCTATCCGAGTCGCGCTTCTCTTCTCCTAGGATAAATATCTCTTCTCTGATTCTTGTTGTATCATATCATCCTTTGTCTAATCTAAGAATCCACTTCTTGAATCTCTCTCAACTCTCTCGTCTATCTTTCTCCCTTCCGCTGCCAACGTTCTCCTTCTCTTTCTAGCTACGGCGCCACCTTCGCCTAGGCCGGCCAGGCCAGCCGCGCCGTGCGCGGCAGTAGCGCCGTAGCCTTGTTTCATTGGTGTCAGAGCCTAACGTTCCTCGGCTTCTTCTCTCGTGCTAAGCTAGCAGCTTTCCTCCTAACTTCTACTTTCGAGCTAGCTTACGAAACTCTTCAATTCGATTTCTACGAGACTACTATCTTCTGAGGAGCTAGGATGACGAGTTAGTTCCTGCTCCAATCTGCTCAAGTCGAATTCGTTTTTGGTGTTGGCGAGATTCCTGAACCTGCGTGGACGAATTTCAGCCAACCAGAAGAATTGGGAGCAGAAATTCGAATTTAGAAGTGACTCTTCTGCTCAACGTGTCTTCCTACTGCTACACTTCGTTCTCCATGCAACTTTCCAGCCCAAGGTGTAGTTGGGTAAAAAGTGTTCGGAATTTCAGTTGCATGACCTGAAATCTTTCTGCTAAAGAATTTCTATTTGGTCTTCACATCTATTTCCAACTTCTTTGGAGTTCGTGAATCTGTTTTCTACTCTCTACAACGTGATTCATTTGCTGGAAAATCTCAAAGGTTACTTCTCTAATTGCTCTTGCTTATGCTCTATAAAGTGCAGATAGTAAATAGAGCAATTACGAGCAAGGCAATCATGTCTCCATTTTCTATCCCTCCTTTCTTCTGATTCAGTTTGACATGTTCCTAGCCCTATGCTCTGCTGTTTATAAAGAGCATCAGCACCTTATTTCACTAACTCTAGTGGATCCAGAAGGTTGCTAGGCTAGATGGTTTGCCATGTCATTTATCTTCTCTGGTTTTCTCCTTTTAGGCATATTTGGCGGTATTGCTGGACGTGCTATAGGCACCAGCGTTGAGGCAACTTGGTATAGGTTGTGATGCTCGGTTAGAAGCGCCATAGCTGAGAAAGCATGGGCTTAGTTGAAACTGTCCACGACCATTGACCAATAGCTGCATGTGACCGCAAGAGCTGTAGTATGGGCTGCAGCTATATGCCAACCTCCTCCTCTGTGTTTCTTCTTGAATCTGCTGAAGCATGAAAAA